TYTTTTAGGTTAATTTGCAAAAATGATKTCTTAGGAMTWGAGACTCCACTATCAACCAATCACATTACGTGTATTAGTCACCTGATTTTCGTAAGGCATGTAGAGTTCTTCCTTGTTGATGGTTGCTATGGAAGCTGGTGAAGAGAACGGTCGTTTAGAGAATCCAAATTTGGAAGCACGTTTCCTTGTTACTTTATCATACAAACATTTACCGCATTTGCCGTCATGCGCAGTAGGGTTAGGACAGCTGATGAGATCGACTTCAAGATCGCTTCTATGACGACGTCTCCATAGACACGTACATGGTGCATGGATACAGATTACTAGTACTACCACTAACATTACTGCTGCTACCAGGCTAAGGATACCAGTATGAACACGCCCYTCGGTATGACTGGCTTGTAACACAGCTAAACAAAACAGCATATGGTCAATTATAGGTCTTATTTGAGACTGACCAGGAAAATTGTACTACTGCCATTWTTGGCACTGAAATCCCCATGATACCCGCAAAMCATGTGCAAAACAAAAGCGCATGTATGCCATCATAAAAACACTCACCCACAGAATTCTAAAATTGTAATGATAATAAGTGTAGTTACAACCATAAGTGGAAAATGTTGGGAACGGAAGACAAGACTCCCACGGGGCTCAATTTCCACTAGTGCGTAGGTTGTGGGTGTTCGTCGTTGAGAAAATATTCCCAAATAATGCACCAAGTGCATTTTGACATTTGTGGCTTTTAAATTATGATTTAATCTTGAAATRTGACTAAATATACCTGGTATCACTGGAAAAAAATCGCGCGCTTTAAGTTGTAAATTTGATGTAAATTGATGTAACTGTCCCAAATTCTGTAAATTTGATGTAAATTTACATCAAATTTACAACCTTTAAAGTACGCGATTTTTTCCAGTGTATGTATTAACATTATAATCATCAACKCCATTAATCATCACTATATCATCAATATCATCCTACATCTACATTTTATTGTCGTGTAATCAGTCAAATAAWCATTAAAAAATACACGAATGAAGTTTATGTGAAAATACCGGCTGCGATATATCGGTTTTTGTCTGCAAGTAACATAAAAATTACTTCATTTTCTCCAATATTGCATCTCTTTACACAAATGATGATGTCATGGCTGAGTACGTCACACTTCGTAAACAGATTTTGTGCAGGCGTATAATCAAGGCATCGCTATTACCTATATTGATCACTTAAAAGAATGTACCGCCAGCATAAATGTTAAAATTTCTTTTCAAAATAATAACCTGTCTGGTTCTTTGTGTAGTTTTGTTCCAGCTGATAATTAAAAGAGGCACTAACGATATGAAGAAGAGACTAGTTTATATTGGATTTGGAGGAAACTCATTACAGAACGACGAACCGCATTTCATTTTCACAAGAGCAAATGATGGTTTTCAAAAGAGAGTTGAAAATGTCATAATATAATAGAAATGACTAAAAGGAGTTCTTACGGAAGCTATTAATATGGATGTATTGAAAATYATAAATGGACGCTCAAGACTGCATTTTATTTTTCGTTTGTTCAAAGGGGAAAAAACGGCTCACTCAGACTGACATGACCACCTAAAAAATCGTATTTTTTTCTGTTGATTTTTCAATTAAAAAAATTCGTAATGAAGACCAGAAATAGATAAGAAATGATGTTTGCAATCAATATTTCATCTGCTAAGAAAGATTTTCCACTGACCAAATTGTCAAGCGACTAACTTCGACAATAATTTCATTGAAACTAACAGACATTAAAATGGATTTCTATTCACCTGAATGTCAGTAAGTTAATAATTATGCGCACATTGAAATRCAGGAACTAAAATTTCACGCATTTAAGCAACCAAGTGAAAGCAATCATAGCATATCGGATTGGAAGTTGAGAAGCTGCACACTCCTGCACGCAATCATCTARACCTACATATAATAATCGATTTGAGGGGATATAAAATTCAAGTCAACTATTTTCGAAATTATCAAATCACCTGCTTTGTCAAGACATATTTTGTTTGTGAAAAAAATGTCAAACCGGCTTAAAATATTAAATGCTGAGGCAATGACTGTGAGAGTCCGATAACATTAGCTATACTTGCGTATCCAGGAAATGACTCACCCTAAGGCCTAGGAATCATGTATCTATACGTATTTATTCAGATATGGACAAATAAAAATAGTAAATATCAGTTAATAGGAGAGCATGGAAAGCGCTAGTCATGCCTTTGCTTCTTACACACATAAATAGCCAATAAGTTTTAACTAACGTAATGAATTAGTTGGGCAAACGAGAGACAAAACAGAAGATGACTCATCTCTCTTCCATCTCGTCTGACGTCATATAGGTGGGCCAATCACTGACATGTCAACCGACTAAGACAAGACGGTAATCCATTGATAGCATGCCCGATCTGATTCTCCTCAAGGCCTTGATAAATTATGTGGGATTAAAATAGCTATGGTCTTGAAAATTATGTTCTAAGGCCTTCATTCGTAACTAATAGCCATAAAGGTAAATTTTTGAATGAACAAGAAACAGACTAACAGAGATTAAGTGACACGGAAGAAACTGACATTGAGTATTCGTCTCATCAGTTTATCAACACATCATAATCAATATATCATAATTTATTGTATGTAATATGTCATACGAGAGCCGTTCACTGTGTACACCAATGAATCAGATTCCGATGTTTTTCCAATGATTATTATAAAAAGAAAAAAAAATTGAATTGTTAAGTAATACCGTGTGCTACTTTAACTAGTCATTTCACGGATTGTAGAAAAACACTTCAAGTGATAAACCTGTGAAATACACTGATGACCCATATTACGCTTCATGATTATTTATGTCGAAACTGAAGGCTGTTRCCTTCTTTTTAAAAATCTTATCTCAAATCCTACTCCTCCTTTTATTCTGTAATACTGATCACAAAAATCATCAGTATTACTTGTATTACATTTTGTTTCACGGGTTATTGAGTTTCTAATGACGTTACTGTTACTGTGATTGACAGATTAACCTATTAAATGTGATTTAATTTGGCTCAAAAAGAAAAAGAAAAACAACAACAACAGCAATATAATACCTCATGTTAATATCAAGCATTATGTTGTAGGTTATTTTTGCTATGATGGATATCAGATTGCTTATTCATTTACCAATCATTTTGCAAATTTGTGAAAAACAGCTTGTTTATATAATATCTGCGCTTTTTATCATTCACTAACTTTACTCTACCAAATGTGTGTTATTATATCGGTATTTTTAATATAATCTTTGTGCTTTGTATAGCTATTGCTAATCATCTCCTGCGTCGATTGTTTTATTTTGCGTTGGTCCTTTTGCTCTGAAAGCCCACATATATCGACTAATATGGTTGATGTACGTTGGGGTGATTTGCGAGTTAAACCTCAACCAATAACGAGGAAGAACGCGAGGCGACAGGGTTTAAAGAAACTGACAGAGAAATGGGAAATGCATAACTGTGAAGCTTCAAGTTACAAGAGCAAACTGAATATCTTGCGTAATTGATATGTTTATCTAGAATTTCAAATTTGTTATATACATTTAAAATGTTCTTTTAATTGATATAATTGATCATGTCATGGTAATCACCATATTGGATATTTTCGCGCCATTTCTCAAGGTAATCGACGCACGGTCATGTACTGAGCTTCGAGATAAGCCTTTTACTTGATTACGAAAATGACAAAAAATAACGTTTTGAACGCATAAAAAGATTACAACGAAAAGGATGGATTTATGTCCAGTTATTTTTGAAGGAAAATGTCAGTTCATGTCTACATACTGTGTCATTAGATGTCTTACTATGCGCCACTAAGTCATATTTTTTGGCTTGCGTTTTCAAAAAGTTTTGACTACAATGACATTTTCTTTCAACCATGCAACTTAAAAATGTCAAAAAGGACGTTAAAAGTGCTCGCTTTACTTCTATAACCTTTCTGGCTTTGTGGTGTAGTCCTACTTTGTATGATATTGATTCCTTTCATCAAAGCAATGCGGATATTTTTGATTGCGCAAGTTAATTACATCTGTGACGATACAGAAATAGTTTGAGTAGGATGAATAAATTGAGTTCTTTTTTATCGCCTTCTTTGCACTCAGTGTCGGAATTTTCCATAATGGCTTCTAATTTACAGTCGTATTTTATTGATCAGAGGGATGAATTATTTATATGAAGTGGTTTTGTGTGTGGGATCGATAGTAAAACTTTAAGCAAAAATCTCAATTGTGGTTGGAAAAAAAAAATGTTTTCGAGAAAAGCGACGGTTTGATGTCTCACGCAGCTATCATACATTACGAAGAACATCAAATCCGAAAAAATATAAATGAAAACTACCGACAAACGAACTTTTCATAATGAGTAGCGTTGTATAAGACTTGGTATAAAAGAACTGAATATGGTTCCTTGATCGAATTTGGAAAATACAACTAGATTTTTTTGTCATGAGAAAAGCCATGTAACTTCGACCATGGCTATGCCTCAGGTCGAATATTATTTTTAGCTTATAAGCCTATACTTTCCTCGTTTAGCAAAGGAAGTTAGTCTTAGAATAAAGGCGACGACTAGTGATATACATCAGACATAAACAATAGGAAATCATCAAATCAAGCAGTGAAACGAGCCCTGCTGTTTCTTCTTTCATGATGTTTGCTGCGCTCAGATAAGGGAGTTCCAAGACTTGTCCTTGCACTGATGCAAAATTGTATACAATTAAATATAAAAAATGCTGTATTACTTTTACTTCTTTACAAAAGGAGCCCTACGTTAAGGAAATTGTAATCTACTTCGCTTATACTGCCCATGAAAAATTTACAAGAAAACGAAATAATTTGACTGAATGAAAAACCTTTTGTCATTCATATTCAATTTTAGCATATGTATTCACTAGGCAGTCTGAGTGTTGGCGGAATTCCTCATTTTTACTGAGAAACGTATATTCTGATAMTCTTTGTCTAGTTCTACTGATGTTCATGTTTTGAAAACTGTATTGTCTAAAAATGCCCCCAAAACCGAACTAATTTTTTGGATGTTTGAGTATTGGAATTGCCCTTTRAGTCTCCGTCAGCTGTTCTCCTATCGACTATTTTGCATAATCAAACCCTTTGTCCAAACTTAAAATGCTGTTTAAATCAAAATCGCACTGAATTTAATGTTTTTTTAAATGTTTGAGGGAAAAAGTATAGATTTCAAAGAAATATTGTTGAAGAATATTCTAAATATATTTTATGTTCGATGGTCTCTCGAGTGTTACACCCAAAATTGAATGTGCTTCGTCGAGGGATTGCAACACACTCACCTAACGATCTATGAGCATCCATAATGTCTTCCCTTGACATTTTCACAAACTGAACATTTGACAATGCACGCTGCCGCTGTAGTATACTTTCTTTGAACGTCTGCCATGGTTTGTTTTGAACGTTATGTTCGCGTTCGTTACCATCTGGTCTACTCAACATTATTTGCGGGAAATCTTTCGTATTTGATGACATTTTCGTGTTATCGAGCCATTGAGTGWTTCCTTGACTTGCTGCGTCTCCATTTCTATYTGKGTATACGTGGCCATTAATCTGGGGAATTTCGAAGTAAAGTTAAGTGAAATATGGAAGTGTCCATGTCATCATGATCAATTAAAGTGAAAGAAAGGTGARAATCGATAAAAAACATACCCTGAAAGCGTCGAGAACTGCAGCCGTTAAGAAGATGTGGATTCCCAGCTTAATTTGGTTTGTCATAGCAGCAAAACTGAGCCGTTTTGCACCCAATGTGTTCAATTAGTAAGCGTTTTTTCAGCGACGCAAACACCAAGCGTTCACTTGTATAGAAATGCTACCCAACCAACCGCAATCATGCCTACCAACGATCTGCCAGTGAGGTGCGTCCACCAAATACTACAATGATATCATTTCTTATAGATTTTTCTTTTCGTACGGCAGTTACTTCGAGCGAAAAGGGGTACTCCTCTTCCCTCTTCACTATTATGGCTTACTTCAGRTCACTCCAGAWATTTACGACATCGTTCCCTCGCACTTGTATGTTACATAAGATATCTGAACCCAAACTTAATTGAGAGATATGTTGACTGAGCTATCGTACGACTGCCTGCTTTTGGTTGGTCGGCAGTCAGATTCGTTTGACCGTATACCTAGCGGGAAGCCAGTTTGATGTTGCGCGGCAAGTCAATCAAAATTAGTCTTACCATCTTATTGGTGGAGTGGTCGGAGGTTCTTTATAAAGTATATAGACACTACGCTAAGAGACTTGAGTGACGTAAGTGTGAGATTCTTATGCCTTATATGTAGACTGTTGACGGAAATGAAAGCGCGCAATTTATCGCGTTTGAGGCATATATGTTTTTGTATCTTTACTGCTTGTATTACAAATCTGAAAACATTTTTCTGTATATAATACGATTCATTAAAGTTTAAAGCAACGTTGCCAAGCTGGTTTWATGTTCATGTCAGTGCACAGGTGAATTGAGAAAAACTGAAAAGTATTGTTTTACATCTAATTGTAAAAACGTTTCAATTTATCATAGCGATGATACGAATGATCATTGTGGATATACCATTTATTTACAACAGACGCATCATTCAATATTCATTCGTAAGTTGAATGATCTCTTATCGCGCCTTACACATCATATGTACTTAGACTTTCACTCGCCAAGAAAGCCGCATAGAGCAACTTTTGTTGGAGGTATTGAAATAATGGTTTTACACATGAAAAACAGGGTATATTCCAGTCAATTTGCGCGATTTTAGGAAAAAAGCTTGCAGTAACCTTAGTGAAGGTCGAGGTGCCAATTCATGTCGAGTATATTTGTCATTTAGYTTGAATTATTAAAGTGAAGGAGAAGACAGAAAAACGACTGCTTGGTCGTTTATTTTTGAATTTAGTAGTAAAGCGTTGTTTAGATAAATAATCCCAACAAAAAAAYATAAAACCATAATAAAAAATCTATTTTTGTCCGGATCATGTAAAAAACAACAACAACAATGTGAGAAAATAAAGCTGAAGATTCAAAGAAAACAAACTGACTCAATTCAGTGATTGAATTGCTCAAAACAGAACGCTCTTTTATCATGGTTGCATTGACGACTCAGCGTGCTAGAATTCAAGCGAAATTTGAATATCTGGCGAATAGTTAATGTAGGTCAAGGGAAGCACCTGCGGTGGCTCAGCGCCACGCTCATTGATCAATCAGTAATTGCAGTAGCTTRAGAACAGGCTCCCAGGAGCTGGCCTGGGAGATAAAACAAGGGAGAGGAGAGTCAGAAAATAAAATCAGTTCGCTGCTCAAATATGATTAAAAATTCAACATAAACACCCTTTTTCACCAAAGTTCTTTCTCCATTGATCACAAACGTCTTACAGTTATTGTAAAAAGGTTGTAATGAATGAAAGCACGACCGAAAGATACYGTGGGTGTTCGACAATGTTTCAATGTTTTTTTCGACATCCATTCATCTAATGGACATTGATGGAAAAAAACACCACACACTAAAAATAAAAACAAAGAAAAAAACAGCAAAAATCAGCAACGAAAACTACAAAAATAAAAAAAGCATAACACACAAAAAAACGATAAATCATCGAAAAATGACAAAACCTGATTGCTGTCCATCCAGGATTGAAAACCATGGGCGTTCCCMTCTTATTTGAATGAGCGAACAGTAAAGGAAGATGCTTATCTTGTAATAATCATTTCATTTACTAAGACCTYATTTCAATTGTTTTCCTTTGTTTCAACTAGATGATTACTCACTTTTATTGCTTCACAAGTATAGAAATGTAATGACTCAATAGAATTCTGAACCTTTTACGTCTCTACATGATTTTCAATGCATTGTGGGACCAGTTTCTAGAGAAAGCAAAAGAAATCCACCATGTTCTGTACCAAACATATCCTATAATGCATTGCACATACGGTACATTTTACGACGTAAAAGCTTCAGAGGTCTATTAACACACACAGAGGGCTGTGATGGGTTCAGTACTCAAGGTAAGGTCCACTGGAAAGCAATAGTCAAGGTATGCTTCTTATCTACTGGTCTCCTTCACAGCCTCTCATTTTGTTGGGCTTCCTGTCCCTCCCTCTCTTGTGATGGACAAGAAGACTAACAAAGCAGGCTGCATTGGAGACAAAGTCAAATGCAGAACACACTTCATCTAAGATAAACAGAACTTTGACAAAGAAAGCATATACTTGTTGAGCATACTTTTAACTGCATGCACAGCCAGGGTATTATACATAAATATGTAACAGCTTATATGTTGGTTATTGCAAAATAGTGTGCATAATTAATATAACAAAAATTACAGTAAAACTGAAAACACTGCTACTAAACAAGGTTTACAATTGAAAAGGAACTTTATTCAAGATGTCAGCGAACATTCCCCTTAACAGTTGTCTGTACATATAAACATTTATGCAGTCTTGGATGCCGACTTCTTGTTATGTTTCTTGGCAAATCGAAGATTTCTCAAAAACTTTGGTTCAACCTTGAAAAATTGACATAAAAAACATTATTAAAACCATCTATATTAGATGATAAAGATGCTTGGAAAAGTCAGTAAAAGTCTGTCAATTTTAATACATTATGTAAATTATAACTTAAGGTCAAGCAGTTAGGTATTTATAACAATTTATTTCATACTTGATTCAGTTTTCTTTGTTATTCATAGTGTTGTATCTAGCTTATTCCACAGCTCATTGTGTATTCAAGTGCTTTATATCGAAGCTTCAGGGCAATATCTAGATATTGCCCTTGAATACTAATGTACTTATTGCCCTTGAATACATAATTAACTACTACGTTCAACTTAGAAATTTTCCGTCTGAAACTTGAAACTTGAAAGAAAGAAAGAAAAATTCAAATGACACCAAGTAGATTCGAACCCACAACCTTAGCTTTGAAAATCCTATACTTAACACGCTATGCTAACTGACTAATCGATGTCAGTTGTGGAATAAAACAGTTATTTAACATTGTCCAGTTACTTGTTACAAAAGGTATATTGTTAGCATTGGTCTCATGGGACTAACGAAAAAAATGCTTATGCAAATTATTCCCGTTGGGAATTTTCAATACTGTAAATTTCGTAATCTTTTCTAATCGAGGTTTTGGTTTTTAGTTCATATGAAAACGGCTTCTTTGCCTATTTTAAAATGAAAATATTAATGCAGTGCTTGGAAAACTTCTTCAAGTATGAAATAAGTCAGATAAATACCTCGAACGTCGGCAATAAGCCTATAAAGCCCTCGGGGCCTACGGCCCCTCGTGCTTTATATGGCTTATTGCCTCCGTTCTCGGTATTTATCTCTTACTTAGACTGTTATTAGGTCGACTGGAAAGACTTACTTAGAGATTCATTAATGGTAAAAAAAGAATCAGATGGTAGTTTATAATGCCACAGGAAACCCAATGCATCCACAAACCAAAACACAACGATTGATTTGAATTAGGTAACGATGTTAAAATACAAATAAAAATTTAGAAACACAACAGAAAAAGAATTATTGGTAGCATTAAAAATAAACANATGTTGGTTATTGCAAAATAGTGTGCATAATTAATATAACAAAAATTACAGTAAAACTGAAAACACTGCTACTAAACAAGGTTTACAATTGAAAAGGAACTTTATTCAAGATGTCAGCGAACATTCCCCTTAACAGTTGTCTGTACATATAAACATTTATGCAGTCTTGGATGCCGACTTCTTGTTATGTTTCTTGGCAAATCGAAGGTTTCTCAAAAACTTTGGTTCAACCTTGAAAAATTGACATAAAAAAACATTATTAAAAAAGATGCTTGGAAAAGTCAGTAAAAGTCTGTCAATTTTAATACATTACGTGAATTATAACTTCAAGGTCAAGCAGTAAAGTATTTATAAAAATTTAGACTGTTATTAGGTCGACTGGAAAGACTTACTTAGAGATTCATTTAATGGTATTAAAAAAAAGAATCAAATGGGAGTTTATAATGCCACAGGAAACCCAATGCATCCACAAACCAAAACACAACGATTGATTTGAATTAGGTAACGATGTTAAAATACAAATAAAAATTTAGAAACACAACAGAAAAAGAATTATTGGTAGCATTAAAAATAAACATGTTCAATCCATTAAAAATCAAATAAAAAAAAAAGAAAATATTTAAGCTTACTAACCCCCTTCAAGGACGAATATCTTTGTGTTCGCGGCTTTTTGATGCCATTTCGATGAGCTTTATGACCTAAAAACAAAAACAATACCTCATTTCAACATAAAATAAAGCTGTACACGTAAATGTAAACATAACTCGTAGTATACCTTGATTATGATTGGTGTGATTCTTTGACTTCGCCATTACGAGCTGTAACTATAATGGGTTTTCTTTCAAAACTAAAAAGACCAATCGTAAAAATACTCAAACCATGGGAAAGAATAATCATCTAATATCCTCTATATAARCGTTCAACTCAGGATGGTCAATATTACCTKAGAAATCCCAAAGATTCTGCGGCAACCTGAACTGTTTTCCTAAACAAGACGTAGGAACAGTCGAAGAGACAGAGGCAGATWACGCGCAAAGAATTCTGGGTGCCATTAYTTGTGGGCTTCCTSTKTTACACAGGTAGACCGTCATATTTTAGACTGTAAAATTGTACKTTTTCMACAAAGTTCAACAMGTCATAGGGTCGTTACACTTYAAGCGAAATACGCCATATTYYGTGCRGCYCTTCAGTTCCAATAGACGCGGAAATTCTTTACGTAAAACCAAATTAGGGTAAAAKKTTAAYCGTGGAATTMWCTGGGAATTACGTGGGAAGTTCGTGGGATATTTTGCACAGTGGGYCAGAGTAGGTGTWCAKATATTGAACTATGTCTGTTATGCAAAGTGAACATTATGTCTTTATCATTGATACTTATAAACCTGTGGTAAACAGCGAACAGAAAAAAATAGTACTCGTGATGTGATGGTTTGTTTCGAGTTGTTTGTTTTGAGTTTGTTTATCATTAATAATATATGTTGAATAGTCTTGACGATTTGTCCTTTCTCTTTTTTTTATCTTGTATTTAACTTCTGCCTTCCATTAGACTAATTTTCAGACGGACATTAAAGGGCCGTTCTTTCTTCTTCTCTTTTGCTAGCGCGTAGCTACGAGTGGACTGGCAGACAACCAAGGGCGTTAACTGCATGTTATGTTTTTTTCTTTCTACGCACCATACTTACACTCCTACGCGCATATTGTAATTTACGTCTGAGTGCAACCAACTACGGCGACTGACCTTGACAAGTTTTCCTCGCCTAAATTGGGTGCATATGGATTTTGTTTGATAGCAGCTTATTAATAACTTCTGCAAAGCATAGTTACTATGGCAAAAGTAAACTGCATATTAACCTTTTGAACTAATTAAGAAAACCTAATTACCGTGGTATACAACCTCAATCAAACGATGATCGTTTTATCTACCTCCCCTCCCCTCCCYTTCCACGGTAATCATCGATCATCAAAAAGGTAGTCACGCAATGGCTGATTCAAAAGTGAAACTATACTAGTCCAAATAATGGTTAAAATCAGATCGTCAAAGGGGAACCATTTTGTTGTAGCTAGTAGATGTTATGATATCCTCATGAATGCTGAAAAAACCATTATGTCATGTCATAAAGCATGAGTTAATATTGTGTTTACACCATCAACAGTATTACATGTGATGTCATTGAGATCGAGTGGTTACTAGGGATTAACAACTCAACCCTCAAGCACTGTCTCTTAGAACTTAGATTTAAAATTGACTAAGATTTTCATCGTGAACTTATAATACCGCCGTCAGCTTGTTTCATAAGGGAGATCATTGGTACTAATAAGATTAGTTCGCACGAAGAAACATTTGAAGAATAATGCGTGACACAAGCGGAAAGTCGAAAGAAAGTGACGAAGCACTGGTTGTGCAATATCTCTAGATACTCCACGTAAAAATCCCAGAGCAGTTAAATTTTTTGTGCATCTCTTTTCAGCGCAGAACTGATTAATACTGTGACGCAGATCTATTTCTATAAGATTTACTTTATTGTCTTGTAAAGAATAGTCTTTTGGATATTTTAATCCCCTTTTTCTCTCAAACGCTTTTGTTTTTTGTTTTTTTTTGTGAGGGTCTGATACTCATGGCTTAAGTTTTTGTTTCAGTYAAATGAACGTTTGATTTAGCAATAGCACTTTCTAGCACTCAAGAAGGAAAAAATTATCGTATGATAATTAAGGGCTTTTTGAGCCGGAAAACTCCTACGCGTAAGAAAGGAACGCAGTTATAACAAGTACGTTACCCGATCTCACTTTTTGCAAGAAAAAAAAATCGTTGTGGAGTAGTTTCAAAAACTTTTACATAATTTCAGTTTGACCAACCATAACAGGATGAAAATACAATGTTTATATTAGTTTAGTTAGTAGTTTCTGTGTTTACAAGTCATGCATGCCTGTACTGACACACGCGAGTACTTTTGCTGAGATAGCGGTTTTCCTGAATAAGAAGAGTCTAGAAATACACAGGTATGAAGCGGAAAGGCGCGTTAAAAATTCACAAAGCCTCGGGGTTGAAAACCGAAACAACCTTTGCCAAACGGAAATTTAAAACACAAAATAGTTTCCTAACGAGAAAAGGGCGAGTTGGTGTGGTTTAAGAACGAAGGAAATGTAAAATTAGAAGTTTTGTTGTAATTTCACTTATGGCGGACATGACGCTTTACATGGCTATTGTTCTTCCTTTCAATTCGGCGTCTTTTGACAGCTGAAAATGCTGATACTTCAAAATGACAATCATAAAAACAAAATATTTGCTTTTATTTCCCTTGAATTGATATTTCTCGATGTAAAAGGAGTTAAAACAAACGATGACAATGCTAATGGACTCATCCTTTTGAAGTGATTTTCGCAGGTTTTTCACACCTTCCTTCAATAACATCATTTAGAATATTCTGTAGTTTCCATGGAAGTTTAAAAATAGTGCGAAAAGTCGTTTCTGAGTTGTAGCTGATTGGCATTACAAGTTCTCAAAGAACTTTATTAGTACCATGCTAGATTCCATGCAGCCTGCCGTCATTAACTGGACTTTAGTGACGCAACTTTGTGACGCAATGCAGAAGGGTGGAGTATGGCCGTAACGTAGTAAAGCAAGAGTTTGAAAAAGTGCACTACGTTGTTTTTATGCTGATTTGCACGCAAAGTCATTAGTACTTCTCATGGAAGAATGAAAGACACCAAGCAATGAGCCATATAATCCTGCAGAGCGTTACTTCAACATGAGCTCTGTTTTGAGGTAGCAGTTGGGACAAAATTAATCTTTTAAAAAGTTTAATTTGCTAAGATAGATTGTTAATTAATGCATAGAACAGGGCGATGAGCATAATAAAAAAATCCAAATCTCTCACTTTTGGTGTCTAGCTTGACGTTCAATCAAATATCTTCAGTATTTTAGGGGGAGGGATTTGACGCACTACGGTGACGTCTTAGTAGATAGAGCGCGGCCATAAGGTCAACCGTGTGCAAAACTGTTTATTTTGAGTCTACCGTGTGTCTATTCAACGATGAAAGAACCTGAAATTCTATAATAATGTTTAGGTGACATCCAATAGACCTATTTTGCAATCATCGAGATTTCTAATGAGATCATTTAGTACAGGATTGTTCGGTAGAATCATGTAGATGTAATATAGGTGTCTGTAGACCAATCTCTGGATCTCTGCCAAAATAAGCATGGTACTCAGATCAACTCGGATACAGTTAATTATTTATCCCTTATCTGCTAGTTTAGTGAGTTATCTATCCTCCATAACAAGTATATTGACTGCCTTATAACCAAAAACACTCTGCGGCTGGTCGGAAGTGCGGTAACAGGCGTAGCCCTAGTCTAGCACGTTTTATTTCCTCTATTTTGGCTAAAAACTAACAAACTTTTGACTTATCACGAGATTTACGTTTCTGAAAGGAAAGAACAGTTAACGTTACAAACAACAGATGAATAGTCCTTCCCAGTCAACTTGTGTCTTGCCTGCATAGGTCTTAACAGTGCCATACAATCGGTGACTTTCAGAATATACTGACTTTGCAGTAGCCGAGTGTCTTCAGTTTTCCAACTGCATAAAGCAATAAAGACAGTTTCAGTGAGAGTATTATGGCCTGTCTCTTGACGAAAACAAAATCATATTATTATAATTTTCAATGTGTGAGACTGAAAAACAGATAAAGCTTTGTATTAAAGCAGGTCTTTTCACAGTGTGCATAGCAGCGTTCTTCCTTATCATCCACCGGACAACTCGTGCTGGTGTGAACAACACTACAGTCTATTACCTTCACGCGATGGATGCTGGCACTCGAAAAGTTAGCCAGTAACATTGCCAACTCCCTTGCAAGAGCATGTGAAATGGTACCTTGGCCGTAGACAAACATGATTAACGAGCATGCGCAATTGTACATTATAACTGTGCCATGTGGGATAGATGACAAACAGACACGAACATGTGTAATAGATCAGTTTCTTTTCTCTCAAGGCTTGCTGGGTTATTCAAATTGACGCAAAGACACTGTCTTCACGCTTATCCAAAACACTGCTGACCAATGCCAAGATACCGTACCCCGCAAAAGTCTAATTTATTTATAGCCGTCGCAAGAAATTCCACTTCGACTTTAGCATAGTCATTGTTGATGATCTTCTCGAAACGAAAATATCTTTCTCGTTTTCACACAAGAGTTAGTYTAGCACAGATCCTTTGAGTCAGCCCACCATTTCCGCCGTTTCACCTGTAACCTTGGTTCGTTAGGGTGAACTGAAAATAGAATGTGCTGGCAACTAAATAAAATAAAAAAAAAAATCTAACAGTTTTTAGAATATCTGGTTATGATTCAAATGAGATCTGAATTAAGAAATGGGCGRCAACTTTAGCAAAATTTGCAAAACGGAGTTRKCACTTTACACTTTTTTACAGACTATAAATACGTTAAATCAATAATGATATTGTATTTTTTTTACAATACTCAGTTCAGGTTGAGAATTTTGAAAAAAGTGAGAGCAGAAAAATTTGAATACTGAATGCTGGGATGAATTGCTCGGGACGCAAAACAGTTCACAAAAAGAAGATATCCCAGGCCGCAGTTGTTGTCATAATACTGACCCGTAAGTTCTCGTGGTTTAACAGTTTGATTTTCCAACTCACATGTTACCATATCAACAAGAGTTGGACTGGCGCCACACTGTCTACAAGACCGGAAAAGATCGTTCACGGTTTACGACCTCTGGAAGCGGTCATGTGGCTTTTCAAGCTATTTTGCATTTTTGTATTACCGGTAACTAGTACATCATCAACATAGTTGAACCCCAATCGCTCATATCCTCATTAACGCCAGTTTAGGATTCTTTTTTACAGATCGAATCCATGATCGCGCGCGAAAAGTTTTCAAGAATCTTTTTTTTGTGATCAAACGCTCTTTTGATTACCAAAATCTGGCGTGCGCCACGATCAGATTGTTTTGTAACTTGCAACCCTATGCACGTGTGTCTTTCATCGGTGGATGTTATATTAGTAGGTACAGAAGGAATTACAGACCACAAGAGTGCAATGAAGATCTCATAATTTATTAATATAGCTATTATTTACATATATGTACAAAAATATGTTATTTAATTTCTCAAAGAAAATACTAGTTGTTATTGAATCTAGAACGTTTGTTCGAGTTAAGAAAAGCGATTTGAAGAGAAAAATAGAATAGAAAAATATTCGCGAATGCCTTCTTTATACACTTAGTTGAAGATCAATTTTTGAAATCAGAACAGTTTGATATGCAAGAAAGGTATAATACACTTTGATTTCACTGAAAATTGTGTTACTTGCACTGCCGATGCAGTATAATTGTATTTTTTTATGCAATTGATCGCATATTGATTCTATCTTATATATATTGTATAATTTACATCTCTAAATATCAATAATTGTGCTCATTTAACTAAATTATATTGTATCACTTGTGTCTAGCTCACTTTCGTCTAAACTACTTGCAGGAGACAGTGTACTTGTTGTAGARCTGGGAGTATGTGGTGGACGGATCGATCGTTCAAACTCAAGRAGCTGGCCCATAAAGTTAAAATTAGGTGAAACRTTTGATTTCCTTGCTTTGACAAAGTCATAAGCTTCGTTGAGGTTTAGTCCCTGATCTGACATTAGGTAAGCGATGGTAATAGTCACTGAACGGGACACTCCGGCTAGGCAGTGAACTAGAACACCGTTGCCTTTCTCTCTGCCTTCATCTAAAAGAAATGAAATTAAATATTAGTCACCCAAGTTTCAAAGTTTTTTTTAGTGAGTGTTAATGAACTAACAACTGATACTATTCCCCAAGGACTCGGAAAAAAACCTTCCTTGAATAGAAAAGGAACAAAAGAGCTTTTATTGTAAACAAAAAAAGGCTTTTGAAAGGATATTTTTCAAAAAACAGCCTACAGTTTATTGATACTATCAAAATGTAACAAAAGTTGGTCTGAACTCGTGTTTGCAATCTGGTCAATTTCTAGACCGGACTCGAGTTACTTTCAGAGGTTAGATTTCAAGTGTAAAATTCCCTAGACAGCGAAAAAAGTGYAACGATTCGAAAGTAAAACACTTAATAAAAAGARCCAATAAATACWTTCCAACRCATATTGTCGATAGCGTAACATAAGTCCAAAATTATGGCGGGAAATCGAAACAACAACTCGAGTCCAAAAGTTGTAAATTTCATTGTCGATTTCTAACTTTGTTTTTGCTAATTGATTTCACAAGAATCACATACCTATGAAGGAGAATGCTTCTGGGAATAGATCTGCCAGGTTTGCCTTCCAATTRTCCTCTACTGGTATATTTTTGTAAGTAAAATCGTTGACATCGGCGAAGGCGTTTGGTCGATCATGGGTGACGTTCAGTACATGAGAGATTTTGTTCTTTTTCAGGAGATCTAGATTGGACGCTTCCTTCTCCCCTCCAAGAAATAGTCTTGGTAATATTTCGACCATTTCTATCTTCCCTCTCTTCTTGTTGTCTGGTGTTGTTGGGACATTACTGGAGAGATTTGCCTTTTGCTGGGTTGACTGTTCATTTCTGGTATCATGGATGGTCAGTCCGGCCAGAGAGAGAAGGGGACGCCCGCACTCCTCGCCAGCCTCGCAAAAACCTGAACATTTCTCCTCGAATTTCGAGAAACCACCTGTTGAATAGTTAAATCTTTCGTCAATTTATATACAAATATAGCGAACCAATAGATTATTTAAAAGACCCCCAAAATGGAGGTTGTTTACAACTCTGATTTGGAGAAAGAGTTCCGTAATTGAGCACAGAAAACAGTTTATTTTATTTTTTTTAGTACACTGTTAAACGTTTTCAAGATCATTTCATTAAAAAGTTATTCATAAACGATTATCGAGTTAAGACTAACCTTCAAGTAGACGAATGTTGGTGGCCGAGCATTCTTCGGAGAGCTTTTTAATAACGACCCCTAGCGCCGAGTTGTGTCCAACAGATGATAGATCTTTGGTAGAAGAATCGTACAGAACTACACAGCTCGCCATGGGTAGATTTTTCTTGAAATTTTCTTTCCCTTCTTCGGACGTTATCAGCGAAGGAATGGAAAAATTGTTGCCTTTCTTTAACCTTCTCAACATGAGTGATGGAATGGTTAAGTTGATAGCCCCCTGTATATGACGACGAGAATATTCACCAAAAGGACGGCAGTCTAAAATCATGATATAACTGTTGCCTTTAAGCTGTTCGCTCAGCCAACTCACGGTCGCTCCTCTGGCCATAAGTTTCTTTCTATCTACCTGCGCCCTTCGGTATGTTTTAGGGCTATCGACTAATAGAGTTAGCGAAGGCATGGTGTACAACGTCAAACAAACTGACTGAATTCGTAGTGATTCCTTGGAGTTCTAACTCGCCATTTGATACGCTCGACCAACTGCTTTGTTATATGGACAAATTTGATTGACATTTCCGTCGACCAGTGTGTTGGTATTTTGTAAATCGACCAATCAGAAGACGCTATTCAAACATGAGCACGGACCGCAAATGCGCAATACAAGAGAATTTCTATGGTAACCGAAGTCGTCACAAGAGGGAGGTGACSAAGTGTCAAATCGTTTCCGGCCTAGACGAAGTAATAACAAAATTTGCATAAGCCCGTTCAAGTATTGAGAAATTTACAAAAACTTGATGATAGCAATGATYATATTTCCTGTACCAACTTTCTTCTAACCTCCAAACTGTTTAATACATCAGTGATACAATGTGCTACCTRACGTGTTTTTTTGATAGAATAGCTGTTTACTCGTCCGGAGATTTAGTAAGCAATTAGAACCTTAAACAAAGGGTACTTAGGGTGTGTCGATGCGGTATTCAATTTATCAGAGCTAAGCTCAATCTAACAATCACTCTAAAACAATTGTTTTTGTGACGTTTGGCTTCTCTTTGAAACCATTTAACTTGCGCAGCTAAGAAACTTTGTCAACAAAAACATAGAAATCCAAATCAGCGCGTTAGTTTGGTTTGTTTACGTTTGAACGCTGAAGAGAAATGCCAAACGATCTGCTTGACTTAGTCAGGTCAAAAGGTTACAGCAAACCTCAAAATAGATTATAATGATGTCGATATCTAAACTTAGACTTGACAGAGACTGTTTTCTTTTTTCAAAAAGTGTGGTTTGCAAAAAAGGGGGGTTTTCATTCATAGAACACTAAAACACTAGAACTATCAAAAAACCCCGCTAAAAAGCAATAAATAAAAACAAATAAAAATACGAATAATAAGAAATGGTTGAGACTCGGTAGCAACGAACAAGATGAGAAAGTATATAGTTGAAAAGGAAATGCATTGGCACTCGAAAAAAGTTTTCAAACAATTTTTAACAGCTGCAAACAACTTTGTATATTTGATGTTTTAAAGTTCTTCTTTCGATTGTTTAATTTAGTCGGTGCATTTAAGACCGTGTCGCGGCCGTCAAGTGCCTGGACCCGCCTGGACGATACAGTCAAAATTCATCAATGTTATACTAGCTAGTAACATTAAAATTCTTTCTTGTGATTTTTTCGTTATTCGGTTCACTAAAAGGGTCTCTATGACGAAAGAGCGTAAAAAGGAATTAACTAGAAAATAACCAGTCTGAGTCACCGACATCTCAGGATTTCCAGTAGAGATGTTCTTTAGCTATAAATACTATTGCTGTATACGATATAAGGACGCAAACGAAATCATCACTATGGGTTAAACATGCCAATTTTCAAGAGCGAACAACTTCTTTTAGTCAAAAATGGCCGATTGTCTTGAAATATTGCAACTATTAAAAACAGAGTTTTTGACCTTGGTTGTAGAACCACGCCCTGCCCTTGTATCMTTGTGGGAAGATGAGATACGTGTCTACAACACCGCTACATTTCCGGGTCACTTACTGATCACAAAAAAGTAAAGTAATTAACAGAACCATTAAATTAATGGCTATAATGATTATTTGAGTTCGGTTTACTAATCCTTCTGAAGTTTTTTGAACCTTGAAAGACTAAGATTTGCGGGAACTGAATTGCAAAACTTATCAGTTGTTGGGTGGTTTTGCGCAGATTTGACCAATCGCACTAATTTGATTTCTTTACGTTTCTMATTTATTAAGGTAAACGAATTATTGTTTTGAATTTCGCTTTTAATCCTTTCACTACTTTCCGTGTCGCGCGCGCGCGCGGCTCAGTTTGAGTGAATTCGAGTACACAGCTTTTATGATGTCTGCGTATGAAAAATGTAGAGAATCTTAGCATTTTCACTGATATTCGCTTGTTAGGCAATAGAAACGAAAGATCTCAGCATGAAAAAGTAGAGATGTTTCGCAATCGCCCAACAAACGCGTATAGTGTGAGTATGGCAGGAAAATGAGGAATTCTAGATTACCTCTCATCACAAAGATGTTTCCGTTAATTACTTACCAAGCCTACAACTTTGGAAATACCTTGCCAAGGAAGAACATTTATTGTGGATGATGTAGCATGTACTTTGTACCACAATATGAACTAGGTTGACGCTCAACGTCCGTAGGCCACACTGGGTAAACCRCTGTGCAAGGAAGTCCTCCCKATTSACTGTGAACCAAAAATACTAATTAAAACTCTTGGTAATACCCTTATTTTTCGTTAAATACGCAATATCTGCATTTATTTGTATATTTTAATAATAAGTTAATAGCTTAAAGGGAACTGAGAGTGTCTATTAAAGGTATTCGCGTACTCATGCACTGAATGTTTTGGAATTTCGAGTTAGAAATGTCCGAAAACTGTGAAAAATCGGGAAGATCGGGAAGTCTAAACCAGTTGGTTATAAAAAGAGATGGTTACTAAGAAACTATAAGTGTAATAGTATCCCTACTTGCACTGAAAACGAGAGCTCAAAACCCCCCGCCATCAAATAAAATCCCCAAGAATACAAGATGTTTTTTGTCCCTCACTCGCACGACATGGTAAACCACTGAGATAGTATTTTTTGAAAATTGAAACTCTAACTAAATATCAAGTAAGAAAAAAAAACTCTTGCGGTTATCAGCGGTTGAAACCACACTGAAAGGAGTGGCAGTGTCTGTTACTTCGAAAGACATCAGCTCAGTTTTRTACAACAGCAAAGTTTGAACAACATCCGTCGGCTTGACTTGTTTGATCAATCTAAAAAGTAGAAGAGATTAAGARGGTGTGGCAGATATCTGTATTTATGACTGTAGCACGATGGAGTAGAAGTCTCTCTCTTCTCTACCTAGCCTAGTCCCGCCTTCCAAGGAGCGTGATACTCACAGGCCGGCCTGGCTACAAGTGAGCTAATTGTCGAAAATCATCAAATACTGATATGAAATCTGCTGCAAAAATTGGCCAAATACTTTAAATGGAATACTCAGTYGATCATGACCCACAAAGGGCCGGGAACTGTGCGGGACATCTAATTTTAAAAAGAGAACAACAGCCTTCAGTTTTCGGCGATCAATCGCCTTCATCAGATATTTCAATGGTACGTCTATAGGTGTGTATATATATTTAAGAATTAACATAAATACAAAGAGTATACTTAACAATAAAGTTACAATTTGAGATTTGCATTTGTATGGAATACTCATATTCATTTGTTCCATACAAATGTAAATCTTTTTTATCTTTTTAAAAATCTTATCTTAAATCCTACTGCGCTACGTCATTTTATAACTGACATCTAAAATCCATTCAGGGTTCTTTTTTGGCCCAGGATCGATGCTGAKATTGGGAAACAGTCGGTTTTGGGCTAGTCTCTGCAATGTAATCTTTGTCCACACCCAAGGAAGAGGTGTGCTGAGAAAATTGAGTTGGGGAAATTTAAGTTGCTATTTCACAAGAATTTATTAATTTATCACTCTTTCATCACCACGATCCTCCGATCAGTTAAAAAAAATATTTAATTTGCTAATGAGTCAATATCTTTGAGAAGCGCCCACAGGGAACCCAAGAGACCGCTACCGCAGGCTGCGACAAAATTGAATCTTCATTTTTCAAACACATTCATGGCGTAAATTTAAATATAGTTCTTGCATCTCTTTGAGTGACCATTTTTCGATATGTTTTATTTCTGAGAGCTAGACTGCGAACGAACGACAGAAGAYATAAAATCTGGGGTTTCCCGAACATGCGAAAGGCTGGGCTGCTAGTGTCACGAAGTCCATTTGCGCGTTCTGTGACATCATCACACCTGGACTASAAGGCTTTGGCCAGGTATTTTGCCGCAGGTCACGGTTAGTAAACTTTCGCGTCGGAAGTCTTGCAGGCCTCTTTTTGGACCTAAAGAATAGAAAGGAATTCAATCGTGAAGTCAAGTTTTATGCCTAGTTTTTCGTCAGAATGGTACAACTTTCTTTTTTAAAGTGCTTGGCGAAGCTTGCAAGGTTTCGAAAGACCGCAGTCTTGCTTCTCGTTTGGATCATGACTGTAAACATGTTTCTAGCTTTCTTATGGACTCATCCATCGTCAAAGGAGAAGAAGCATTGGCTAGAGTGGGTAGATATAGTAAATATTACAATGACAAAAACGTACACGAGAAAAGACATCCGTGATAACCCACAGAGAACAACAACAGCTGTGCAAAACAAAGACACACTACCTCATCAGTTTGTTTTGAATTCAGGAGAAATTAAGGCGTTARATTATACCGATTTTCAAGTTATTGATYCCATAGCTTCTGAAATCAGGGATTCGAGCGCTTTGTTTGTGCTTGTTGTACCACGAGGGCTTGCTCCAACGAATAATTACGTAAATTCAATGAACCGATTAGATAAAGTGTCGTTAATGTTGTCTGGAAAAGTATTGCAAGCAGTTCACGATCTTGATGGGATAGCTTGCCTACCGCGAAATCTTCAAACATCGTGGAGTGAACGAAAGTATTTTATAGAGGAAGACTGGAAGCGTTTATTTAATTCAACATGGTGTAACTTTGCTAGAAGTGAATGGAGTATTCAAATACGAAACAGTGGACTGCTGAAAAAGATAATATTCAAATCTACAAAAGGACTTGATAGCGAACTGCATCATGGGATTGTGATACAAATTTGTAACATTTTCAATGGTCCATTCCTCTTAAGAAGAGAGCAATTTGATAAGCTTAGAGGTTTTAATCAATTTGGCCGCCTTTCTCTGCTTGATTTCTTCTTGCGTTCAAATGGCAAATTAAAGATAGGAAAGTTTGGGGGTTGTTTCTATAGCAACAAGTTGTTTTATCTTGACAGAGGSCGACTTGAAGGCACTCACGACTTCCCAGAATATTCAAATTTTGGTGCGGCACATGGGATACTTCGTATTATCATGGAAGACCGAATAGAATGGACAAAATGTGTGGCTAATGATCGACTTTGCAAAGAAAAGCCATATTTCCCCCCTTCTTCACTCCCTCAAATTGGTCAACCAATATGCTGTAGTGTTGTACTAGGGCAAATGCTTAAAGACATTGTAGCAGTTTTCACAAAGCTTGGAATCAAATATAGRTTGCTGTATGGTACATTATTAGGCGCTGTGCGAAGCGGGGCCATAATACCATATGTACATGATCTTGATTTTGCAGTTGATGATCATTATGGCCTTAACTGGAGTAACTATGACACTTTACAACCATATTTTACTGACAGATATTCAATATCAAGTAAATCATTCATGGGCATGCCTCGGCTTGTATCACATATGCCAGCTCACTTAAACATTAATACRTCTACTTTTTTTGATGGTGAATTAGACGTTGAAGGAAAGAAGTTCTTCAGTGAAGAGATTTTGACATCAATTCGTGGTCTTTTACCTTTTAGTTCCTCAAACTGGAGAACAAGAGGATACACAGACTTTTACCGGGGGCAAGGTGTTTGGTGGAATGACTCATCGATAGTGACAGTTGATGGCTTGAATTACACAGCAATGAAAAGAAAGGAATATGAATGTGAATTGTGGTATGGAAAGAATTGGAGAACGCCCATTATGACAAGTTTTGAATCACAAAGTGATGCAGGAGCAGTATGACATTCMATGCAACATTGTATTTAAGTCCAAGGTCMTSTCTTGTTAAGTTATTTATATGTAAACATGTTTATTTAAGATGCAATAAAGTATGGCCGAACCCCAAATAAAATTTAAAAAGATATACATGGAGCAGTGAATCATGTCTGGCAGTAGATGATAATCTGTTTTTGTAAAACGTCGTAAAAATAATGAAATCGTTGCATGTAAAAGTGTTATATTTACAGGTAATCTTAGGTTGCTTTTCACGCTGAAGTCCCACAGGAAACCCAAAACACAAAATGTGGGCTTCCTGTGTGAATTTCAAAATGGCGACACAAGCACAAGCAGTTCGATGAATATGWAAGTCATTCCCCTTGATCTCAATCATCTTTATTATGCTTCTTCTAAAAAAGTCAAAAGATATACAGTATACTCAATTATCWCAGCCTGAGCGAATCCATCTTTCAAAAGAGAYAACGTCGTTTGGACGGAGCAGTGAATTGGTGGATGTTGTTGTTGACAGTTCGTTGTCACCTCGAATGATAAGTCGTCTTCATGCAAAAATCTCTCGAAAAGGWGACCGTTTTTACATAGAAAGCGAAAGTCTAAATGGAGTACTTGTGAACTCTRTTAAAAGGAAGAAGTGTGAACTGCAGAATGGAGATKTAGTGGTRTTTGGAGGGGCTGGAGCGAAGACTGCTGAGGGATGTGTAGTTACAAACTCACAATCGGAACTTGTTTACGTTTTTCAAAGTGAAGARAAAGTCGTCAGTTCTGAAAGTAGTAGCAGCAACAATGTGTCTAAAAGGCCAGRTGTTCCTACTTATGCTGAGGATGGYAGAGAAACAGACATTTCTTTGAGAGGGAAAGTTATCCTCTCTTCTGAAARGGATAGAAAAACACCTTTACAAAGTTTATATGTCGACTCTGATTGTCAAAAARAACTTTATGATGATTCTCCTGGTGAAGGAACTAGCGACGGAAAAGTGAAAAAGAATAAAAAGATATTTAATTGTGCATCAGAGGACGATAACATGATATTCAAGAAGAAAAAGAGAAGAAGGATGCCTTTTGATTCAGATGAAGACAGGTTGGGAGTGCAAAAGGAAATATTTCTTTTAATAATTCCATTAGCCTCCTTTAGCAGCTGCCCCAGTTTCGTTACGCAACGCTTCTCCCATAGAGAGAAGCGTTGCGTGACTACACAGGGGTCCCTGCTAAAGGAGGCTATATTCCATATGCCTTCTTGAATGATTGTGGTATCTTTGCATGGAAACAATCAGCTAGATTGCAAAGTTACCCTTTTTCACCCTGGTTCCAGAGATGATTGATAAAACAGTGTGTCAATAATTTCTTATCTTAAGATGATAACAAACTCAACTGCTATATCTTGCTTTGGTGCAAAGGCACAATTCACTTTCAGGATTGCAGTGGGAGAAATATATTTGTATATGTTGAAACTAATAATGATTGACATATAACTCTTGCCTTATACAGTCCATCACCTACTAGAAAACTCATCAAGAAAGATTCTTCTACAGAGGTATTGCTGCAGGTGTCTTATTTAATCATTTATAGATGAAGTATTTCTAAATCGTTTCTATTGTGATATTGTAGATAGAAGAAGAAACCAATAAAATATGTGAAAATCCACAATCAGGTGAGGATAAAACAATGTTACATAATGTCATGTTTATATTACTACAGTATATATATCCAGAAGAAGTCATGGAAGGATACACCCTTAGCAATTGAGTACTGTAGGCTTTATATTCTTGTATCTTTTCAGAAATAATCAATCAAAATAAAGTTTTTCTCAATGACCTGAATGAAGAGTTATTGTGCTGTATCTGCCGAGAGCTGCTTGTCTTGACGCATGCCCTTCCTTGTTCCCATACATTCTGCTATGTTTGCATAAGAAACTGGCTGAGGTATGGATTTTCATATAATTGACATTCTGCTAGTGATATCTGCCCTATTATTGACATTAACTTTATTTGACAGGGAGGCGGTAGATTGCCCTAGTTGTCGGTCCAAGGCTTCATTCAACAACTTAGTTCCTGTTAAGGTATGATTAAATTTCAAACAGAAACARGATGGWTTACTTGTGTTTGTATTTGTTTACTGCATCAAGTTGAGTTGTGAAAATATACTCATTTAACATTGTTWATCTAGGTTCTTGATAACATGGTGGAAAAAGTAGCAGTTAGGGTTCTTACTGAAGATGAACTTGAAGAAAGAAACATTAAAATGCAGGTGAGATAAAATCTCAATTAATTGTGTTGGAAGGTTATCCAAGATTAACTACAATATTATGTTTATTTCCTTAGGAACTTCAAGATAGAATTAACGGAAGAATGGTAAGAGAGTGAGGAAACCTCACAAACCTAAATAATAGMCTCCACTTGGCCAGGCAGGGGCTTTGGTCCCACCATATTTCCATTGAGTCACAGTTTCCCTTTTGGTCATTGGATAACAGGAAGCCCAAGAATGGAAAGACGGGTGGAAGGAAAGAGAATTTCCTGTGAAGGGAGGCTTATGTGACTACTTGTCTTTTAATCTAGACAATCATTTGATGACTGATGAATTATACTGATTGTAATTCATTATTKTCAATGAAATACAACAACTGATTAGTATTTTTATCATGAATTTAGRAAGACAATGATGAGTTAAGGGCTGAATATGGCTGTGTAAATAACGACAAGGAATACTGTGAGAAATGTAACCTTGCAATATCAAACAGGTATGTACCTAACTGACCTTGGGTTACCTGTGCAGAGAGAGCCCACAGGAAGCCCAAAGGGACAGAAAAAAAGAGGATAAAGGTCGTCTTAGTCTACATTTTTTCAATGATTCAGGTGTAATTAAAGGGACACTGTCAATGGCACGCATGCGCGAGTAAACTTGAAAACATTAGGCTAGTGTTTTCAAGTTTATGACTCCAAGTTGGCGCGACATAAATCAGCTCGTAAACGTAAACAGATCTAGAATATTCCAAAGTGTGTCAAAGGCACCACAAAATGATTTACCTCCAAGGTAATACTTTCAAAGTCCATTAGAGGTGAGACTGTTACTGTGCATGTCATCCATTGACAGTGTCCCTTTAATGTTGCAGATTGCTGAGATGGGTSGTCAGTTTTCCAAGAACATCATCAATGGCATCTTATCACTTCAAATGTTTCAAACCTCCTTCAAGTATTACTATTAGCAAGGTAATATTCATTTATAATCATTACATGGTACTTAGACACATGTAGTAGATCTATGATGATTATTTAATTTTTTGTCCTTTGACATTGCAGATCAAGGTCGCAAAGGAAATGTCAAAAACAGACTTGATAAAAATCAAAACAGCTGTAAAAAAGTAGTGTCTGTAAAACAGAATTGAATAAAATTTATACAATTACATGTTAATTGTACTCAATTTTTTGTATTGACTCCACAATCTATAACCTTATTTCTTTAAATTTTTATATAGCCTTACTTCACTGTGATGTCAGTGAAACAGGGCAATAATTGAAATCACTGCTACACACTTATATACATTTTATTCTGAGGCCATTTCTATAAAACTACAAATATTTATTAGAGTTTATAAGATTATATTATTGGTTAGGACGGATCTGTAGGCTAATTTTCTGCTGGTTGTCTAAACATTCTCTCAGTTTGTCTTCTGTCATTGAGAGTCTTTGTTCTAAAATGGATACAGTCTGAAAGATCGCAATATACTCATTAATGAAAGAGGAAATAAATTAATAGACATTAAATAGATAATCAGACAAATAACGGCATGGACTTACCTGGGTGAGAACATCGAGCTGTCCAACAATATGCTCAAGAGTATTAGCTAATTGGGGTGGTATATCACGCCTTTCTAAGGGTGTGGTCATAGGGGGATCATTTGGTACCCCTCCTAGTCCTGTAGGGGGCTGACCCCTATTACTTGTGWACTCATCAAGTTTACTTTGTTGCTAAAAATATACGAATACCGTTAGGTTAAGTACAAGCTTGTCAAGATTTTACTGGTTGATAAATAAAATGCATGTACCCTTGGTATTGAGAACATGGCAGGACCCACTTCRACCACTTCTGGATCACCAACGCCCATGTCCTTAGGCTTAGCATTTGTAGTCGTCTGTATAAATTACAAACATTGTTTATAAGGTAACCAAACACAAAGGTGTACCCAGGGTTCTCAGTTGAAATAAAGTAGTTGTTAATATAGGAAAAATACCGGTCAAAATAGGAAAAGTACAGCCAAATAATTTGCAAATAAATTCGTAAGTAGCCGGCGATTAACTAAGCTATTACTGGCGATTTTCGCCGGCTGCTGGCTTCTACTGAGAACCCTGTATACCACAAGAGCAAATAATATCCACTGCCGTTTCATATTACTACAAAGAGTTGTATTTTTACCTGTGGTACACCATGGTGTGCAGGTGATTGTGGTGGAGGGTTATGGGTATGTGATGGAGAAGATGGTACTGCTCTTTTTCTGTGAGCTTTTAGCACTAGAAAACAAAACTCCATTATTATTTTATTGATGATCCCTTGAACTAGCTGTTAAATAAATGTCCAGGAAAAGTTATCTTTGAAATAGTAAAAATGGACTTTATTGAATGATATATATTGACAACTAGTACCCTCTTGATAGTCAACTTGATCAAAGTTTGTTTTCCACACCATCACCTGGAAATAATAATAAAGGATGTGTTATAAGGATGACAACTGAAGTTTATTCACATTACATAGTACTTTTCTTACCTGTTCGTCTGAACTACCAGATGCAAAATATTCACCATTCCTAGAAAACACTACACATGTAGCAGGACCCTTGTAAAACAACAATACAAATCATAAACCAGAGAACTTACTTTAAATTACCTGGAAATGGTAACTATATGTCCATTACAAAATGACAATTGATTTGACTTTTAGTGTACCTGATGRCCATGCAGTGTGTAGAACAGTCTACCTTCCATTAAATCTAAAACCTGTAATATAAACAAGATTATGAATTAAATGTACTAATCATATAGTGAAGATGGAGATATTGATTAACATACTTTAAGTGTTGTGTCATTTGACGCAGATACAAGATAATTGCCTGACGGATGAAAGGATACGGCATTCACTGCACCAGTATGGGCTGAAAAGACAACAATCTTAATATTAGACAACACAGCTCCATCAAATGTCTAACTGAAGCAATCACCTTGATAGTGTTGAAGCAACTTGTTCATTCTAATGTCCCAAACCTGAAATAATGCATCGATTACCATTARTATCCACCAAGAGGTATATATTTTAAGCAAAAGGTTATAAATGATACCTTTACAGTATTGTCTGTGCCACCAGCTGCTATACATGTCCCAGTTGGATGAAATGCTAGTGAGTTGACAAAACTAAAAATAGAAATGATGAAAGAWTGAATTATACAATCMTWTCAAAGGYAGATTCATGRAACTGGWAARGTGAAACCATTTCTTACCCTCCAGGATCATAAAATGTATGAACACACTCTTTACTTGTTCTATCCCATAATTTGATTGTTTTATCGTCACTACCAGAAGCGATAAGTCGCCCATCTGGTGAAAACCTGTCGTAAGGAATATATAAAGYTGCAATAAATCATGATTGCTAAGATACAACTTGGGATTTAATGTGAAATATAAACTTACTTTGCACATCGCACCCAGTTCATGTGGGCATTTAGAGAATATTGAAATTTTTGTCTGTGGACTGTCCAAACCTTGAAATTTTACCAAGACATTTTATGAATTAATCAACACATCAACAAATATGCTCAAAACTTGTTATAAAAAAGAATGAGAGAAACCTACCTTGATTGATTTATCATCAGATGCTGTTAATAAAGACTGGCCATCACTAGAGAAGTCCACATCTCTAACTGTAGCTGTATGGGCTTTGAAAACTGTACTTTCACCTTTCCTGTAAACAGTTGGAATTAGAGAGAGTAGATTTTTTAATTACTAGGCAACAGCATTGGATCATGGCACAAAGATGCTTTAGAAAACATGGAATTGATAAAGCATTATGATTGTGATACAACATGGACACAGTTGCACTAATATCTATGCTAATTGATATTGATTGCATCATGTAAACAAGTTTCCTTTTCTAAATTCCTTTTCTCTAGGAAATTATGTTTGATACATACACACTAGGCACCCACAGTCTGACTGTCTTGTCTCTAGAAGCTGAAGCAATAAGATGACCTGACGGTGAAAACTTTACAGACAAAACAGCATCCTGAAAAGACAAGRTTACTGTGTATTTYATGGTGATAGGTTTATAGCAAACTATACATGATTTTTACCTTGTGCCCAACAAATCTATATGCTCTCATATGGGGCTTGAAATGCCAAATCATCAGACTTGAGTCCATTGAGCCTGTCACTGTTGACATAATGTTTAGACTTTATATCAGATGTTTTTTTATTAGTTTATAAGCAAGTATGAACTTGGAAAAATATCTTACCCAATTGTTTCATATTTGGATTAAAATCTACACTTGTGACAGTGTCTCTGTGACCTTTGAAATGTCGTTCAAGTGTTGGATCCTCCTACAAAGAATATTGTTTATCATTTGCAARAACAATGGCTGATATTTTATCAGAAACTACAGAAATGCACCRGAACATAGCAACAACAGAAAGTTYAACTCAAAGACTCACCAGACTGGAAGTCATTTTGTAAGRTATTCTTGATTTATAGAACAAATTTGCTAATTTTCCAGAGRRAATTCYCTTTTGTTTTGGATTTCGTTTTGAAATATGGCGGGCCGTTGATCATTTTTGAGGTTTGCCGCTGAGAATTTGAGCCAGCGACATACGCTGTGCGGCCTGGCCAAATTTTGATTGCAAAGCCCCCTGGGATTTATTTGTAGAAAACAACATGGCGTCCTARAACTGTTGATAAAACATCAAGACTTTTATTCCGATTTTAGCTGGTAGAACTCCATAAAAATGAACAGGAAGAACCTCTACAAGCCGGGAGTACAAAGCGTCAGCGAACAACGAACTAGACGTCGAGGAGTTGAAGCTGATTTACGGAGAGAAAGGCGYGAAAGACTCCTAACTTCYAAGCGCATTCGGTTCGAAGAAGAGGTTGAAGCAGATGAAGAAAACATTGAAGAATTCACCGTTCAACAAGTGTGCGARCTTGCAAAGGCGATACAAAGAAACGATAATGATACACTTCATTGTTTGCGTAGTTTGAGAAAAGCTTTTGCCCAGGGAAGCGAGTTAATTCATGTATTTTTGCACGTTGAAAATGGCCTACGAGCTGTAGTCACTCATCTGACGGGCAGTAACATCGACCATCAACTCGAGGCTGCTTGGTGCGTGACAAATCTATCGGCYGGTACACACGAGGACACGATGACTGTTTTGAAAGCTACAGCRCCTTATCTTATCACATACCTTAGTGGGCAAAATCTACAATTACAAGACCAGTGTGCCTGGGCWTTRGGAAACATGTCTGGGGATTCTGTGGAATGTCGGGATATGTTGAGGTCCCAGGGTATAATCCTRCCTCTTGTAAAACTCTTACAGGTAATCAACCTTTTTAAAAGTATTAGAACCAAAAATAAATTCAGTAGTTTGATTGATTATAAATACATGTTTATTTTTCAGTCTGAGATGCCAACTGTGGTTCAGTCAGCTGCTTTTGCTTTGTCTAACCTTTCAAGAGGACAAGGAAATGCYTCTGAGGAAATCCTTAMTGCTGGAATAGCACCACTGCTTGTCAATCATCTAGTCCCAGGGAATAGCTCTCTTGAAGTGATAGCTGAAGTCTGTTGGGTTCTAACTTATCTGACTTCTAAACCCGCCTACCTTCCTCAGTTTGTAGCATTAGAAGTTATTGATTATTTGGTGAAAATGCTTCATAGAGTTCTGCAAGAAAGTCCTGACAATAGCCAAGTTATTACACCTATACTAAGATGCATTGGTGAGTGATTATGTATTTAAAATTGAAATTAAATATAGTATTATTATAACTACACAGTCTATTGTGAAACTTTGAACTCATGTGTCTATCACAAAAATGAAAGCTCACAGTTGCTTGTGCACCTTTTCCTTCCTATTTGACAAACACTTGTACATCAAAATATGACTTCTTTTGTAAAATAYTCTTTCCACGTTTCACCAGGAAATATAGCCAGTGGCCCAGATGAATATGGTAGCATGGCCATGCAAGATGGAACCCTGCTACCTACCTTAGCAGCCTGYTTTCAATCAAATCATCGTCATATTAGAAAAGAAAGTCTTTGGGTTTTGTCTAACCTTACTGCAGGACCTGCAGAACATTYAAGAGCTGTTGTCTCACAAGTTGCTCTTGTTCCTATTATTGTMCAGATGCTGACCTCAGAAACATATGACTTGAAGAGAGAGGTTGGTATGATATGTGACATCATGTGMTATYTTTMACMAKATTGTTTAGATTTGATGTTTTTCTSTAGTACAATCARCCATGAAGCAGTGTGTTGTAAATGAACTAATAAGCTTGTACAGAAGTTAACATACTTTTTTTGAAATTCCAGGCAGCATTGWCACTTTGTAATATTGCATATCACAGTCCAGAATTCCTGAGGGTTATTCTTGATAATGCTGGCATGACTGGTTTTGTTAATATACTAAAATCACACGACCAGGACACTGTTCTTACTGGCCTACAGTTTGTGGAAATGTCATTACGGATATTTCCAGATTCAAAGCAAWGTTTTRAAGAAGCAGAAGGAGTTGCATGCCTCGAGGGACTGGAGTATAACTGTAATGAAACACTGCGACAGTATGCTAATGAACTTTTAGACAATTATTTCATGGAAGGAGAAGAAGAGGAGGACGAGGGTCTTAATGATGATCAGCAAGATGCAGACTTGACATTGCAGCAAATGAATATTGCTACTGCAACAGAAACTGGCAATTGAAATTGAACTGTTTTTTATTGATTATAGTCTTTTAATATTTAGCATTTTGTATTAATTTTGGTTGTTCCTTGTCAAGTCAGAAAAGAACTCTTGCTTGTGGAAGAGCTGCCATTGCTACTAGTGTTGATGTAATATAAGGGGAAATAACCAACATGCMCCAACCAGCAACATTTGGTGTTCCTTTGCCAGTAATGATATTGCAACTTGCCCCGAGGGTTTTTTATCTGGGACCCATTACTAACAACAAGCTGTTGTGAATCATGAAAGGAGATATTCCTATAATATTAGAAATCTCTACAATACCAGTATGTTAATATCAAATTCTCAATGAATGTCCCATGTTATAATTAAAATTTGTAATGTACATTTTAAATATCAAAGGAAATACAATACAAATGATTTCGTTAAACAAGGAATGAGATAATGGTATCCCTGTGTAAATCAAGGAGGAGGGCAACTGGGTCAGCCAATCAAACGGAGAAATTTTGTCACGTGAAAAAATTCAAAACCATCCCGCGAGGAGTGTTGTTCTTTTCCGTTTATAAATTACTCTAAATTCTTTTGATTTTGATCGGTTTGGCTGCTAAATGATAGGTCATTAGACCGATCTTTTTCAGTAATTTAAAGCGTGGTATTCTTTCTGCAAATCTAGTTAAAATTTTGCACGAATTCTCTKMGTGGATCTAAGAAATTCGTAAACCTAGTGTCCATCGTGATTTGATTTCCAAGCCATGGAGTTTTCTTTCCTTGAAGACGAGAAATTTGACTTTGATCTTCCTCTTTCACCTACAGAAGATGAAAGGTAGCAAGTTTTAATCTAAAAAAACTAAACAAAATATTGTAAACAATTACTAATTGCATTCCTRTGGTTCGATGTTGATTTCAGAAATCTCGAGGTAGAAGACGATGACGACGAGATCTTTTTCGGTCCAGTSGGTCACAAGGAACGTTGTGTTGCAACTAATGCAGCGACTAAAGCAACAAAAATACTTGATGACATTGAAAACACTAGAACTTTGAGTCCACTGAATGCAGAGCAAGTTGTAGAAATTTTCAAAGAAGCGACATCAATGGCTGTCATGTTGAAGAGTTGTTCCTCAGACGCCTGTTCTGACTCRGAGGATCAARATAGACGCAARGATTTCCCTGAACTCATAGCTGATATTGATAATAAAAAAAGCACTCGTGTTTTAGACAAAACTCAAGATGAAAATGACGKACAAACAGATCAAAGTGYTGATAAAATTGCTGTGGAGTCAAATGATGATGGTTGTGATGGTTTTGTGGTTAGAAGAAGAGCTTTGAAAGAAAGGAATYCTGTTGTGAATGACAAGGAATCATCACAACTTCAAAGAATCAAGGCAACARCATCAAGTCAAAAAGCTGTGAGTTTGTGAAAAACTCYYTAATTATCACACCACATTCACTATAGTTTTTCATTTTTAGAATGATATTAACTAAACTAAAATACAATCAGGGGATCTGCATTAAAATTGGAAGGGAACTAGTSCACCAAACGTACCCTTATCATAGTTTAGTAACTCAATGAACTATGGGAAAGGGTAAATTCCAACCTCTGGAACCCAGAGTAGTGATTTGGGGAGAGTTTGGAAAAGCATATTTGATGTGGCTTTTGTTACTGATTTAAAACATGGTTTTAGCTTGTAAGCTGGTCACCTTGCAGATGGGTCTTCAAGTGATTGTTTTGGTCCCCTTACAGATGGGTCTTCAAGTGATGATTTTTCTCTCTGAATATATCCTAGTTGTGATAATCATTGTCTAAGAAGTGTTCATCGACCCATCTGTGAAGGACTAGCATGTTAAGTTCTCTATCATCATTTTTAACATAGCTTGTTTGTCTAGACCTCAAGGAAAACTAAAAGTGCTGTCACTCCCACAAGAAATTCATTGTCAACTTCAAGAACAGAAAGGTATGAAACACTTATGACTATTTTTAAATACTTCATGATGAATTCTAGATATCATATACAATTTACTGTTTCATTTTTAGGTATAATACCAGCTCAAGTGCAAGTGATACATCTTTTGGGGAAGAGAAAGCTAAGAAGGTAGAAATGCTTACTGTTGTTGAAGGTCTTAGATTCTTGASATACAAGGCATTGCTGTACACAACTTTAAACAACATCATCAACATTATTATAGAGAAACATTTTTATTTCGTTTTAGAGTGGTCTCAAGGCACCTGGATTTAGCTCCTGTCCCAGRCGAAGATCAAGCTCTAATTCATCCACATCAAGTACCTCTTCTCTACCAAGCTTTAACCTCAATGAAACCTTCACTATTGCTAAAGCAAGCGATAAATCCAAGKCAACAAATATCAAACCAACAAACAGAAAAACACAACCAGCCACAAAGGGAATGCTTACAAAAGCAATAACTTCAAAACCATTATTTGCAAAGCCAAGTGAAGTTCCCAAGACAAGTAAACTTCAACCAATAAAAGTACAAACTAGAAATATGTCATGTACAGGACTTAGAAGTCCAGCAAAACTCAAAGCTAATGCTCGACCATTGAGTGCAGGGTCTACTCCACTAAAAGCACAAACTCCAAAAGCTGAAAGAACACCTGGAAACCGAACAACACCTATGAGACGTAGAGTTTCAAATGCTTCAGCATCCAGTACTGCATTGAAAGGTCGACTAAACACCTCAGGTTTAGCACTTCCTGAAAAAGCTGTCACACCAAGAAGTGGAATTCCAGGAATTGYAGSSAGGGGWAAGACTGGTGGTGCAATAGCAAAGAGACCTAACAGTGCAATGAAAGGAACTGATAAAATGAACACTAAACTGATACCACAAAAACCATCTACACCTGAAAACAGGTTAAAGAAGAATGCTGGTGGTACACCTGAGAAAACAGGTAAAAGTGTGCATCCATTCTTTCTTCTATTCATTTTTTTTTCTATTCATGCTTTCATTGTCATTTAAATCGACTGTTTTGGAGGTATGTCATATATAATATCACTGATATTTTCAWTTCCTATACTAATTTATCTATTCTTTAAGTTGCAACACCAGAAGACAAGAAGAAACCAGGAAGTGCACGTAAAAGACGATCATTTCTTCCMACTCCAAATTTAAAAAATACCGAAAGTAAAACAGCACAACCATCAAGTCCTGYTGCAATTAATAAATCAGTCAAATCTCCTGATACTTCCAAGACTATWGAAAGAGCCAGAAACCTTATCAAGAAACTAGATCTTAATCCAGAATCACCAAAAAATGAAGCTTCATYCTCAAAGATGTCTGAAGACAAAACAAATGAAGCAATTGAGAAAGATGTAGWATCAAATTCRACAAGCCCACCCATTGCTAAAKTAGAGGAAGTTCCAGACTTGATGATTCAAGAAAGTCCTCCTGTTCCCAAAGCACTGCTAGTAGATGTAGTCACGGATCCTTTCTCTCCTGGTATTGACTCTCCTAACTTTGCAACTGATGAAGTTCTTCATCCAATAGTGATTTCATCAGATACAAAAGATTTGATTGATCTTTCTTACCAATCACCCAAACCTGAGGTAAGTGAACATGTTAGCTACAGWTAGCAATAACTTACAATAGATTGATCATGAAAAAGCTAGTCTAAGTAGTCATACAAAACATGATTGTAGTCTCCTCCACGGTTCCTTGCTGCATTATTTGACAACAGATTCTCTTGCGCAAAGACCATACCCAACACAAAAGAGAGCATGAGAAAATGTCATTAAAAAAGCATTGAAAATTTGCATTTTACCCCAGTAGAGAATAACCCTGTATTCCAATAATATCTAAGTTATAAGCTTTCTGGGAATCCAGGGCTAGGCTCAACTCAGGGAAAATATAATTTATTATCGATATTGTGCTTATAACATTTTCTCATGCTTTCTTTAGTATTTGGCAAGGCCTTTGCGCAAGAGAATCTAAGGTCAAATAAAACAGTATRCATTCACTTTGAACTTGAAAAAGGCATATTGATCTTTTTGCTCTGTTTGGCTTCAGGTTGATCTAATTGATTTGGCTGCAAAATCACCCTTGGTGGTAAGCAAAATAACTGAATTCACTTATTTTAAACTTCAAGTTAACATTACTTATTATTTGTTGTTTCAGGAAGCAAAGTTGGTTGATATCTAGCACCTAACGTTCCCTCTTCAAATAATAAGACATCAATAGACATTATTACATTATATTATATTCAATGACGTACTATTATTATAAACAAAGGTCATGATTATAAAAGGAATTTCATATAACACACTGAAGCCAATGCAAATATGATAATTGTAGAATCAAAGTAATTTGCACTGCTTTTGGTGCATTGTGCCAAGTACACATTYAAGTGTTTCTTGAAAGCATAAGCAGGACGTGAAGCAAGTGCAACTCCTCCTGTGAAGTTGTTCAAGATTGAGAAATGAGAAAAGTTTGAGTGCTAGGCTGTTAAAATCCAGGTGCTTAAATGGACTTCAGAAAGCAAAGAGTAAAACAATTATAAATCCAAGTAAAGCAATCATTCCATGTACTTGGTATGGTGCCATACACTTGTGAAAATATCAAAATTTATAAGTACATATTCAGTACTTCTAWTAAATTTTTTATTTCGATTCTAGTTCACATCATAAAAACCTTAATATTTTTGTAAATACAAAGTTGGGAGTTTCTTCTTTTTTACAGTGTACAATGATATTATTTTGAAGACAAAAATGTGCCAATTTCTTGCATCCAGCAGTAAAATAAATATAAAGCATTTTTGGTCTTCTAGAGTTCTTGAATTCCATGCATCCTACCACTAGTACCTGARCATGAACAATGGAAAGAATTCTGTATAGAGAATTTGTCTTCAACCAATAATCTCATGCTATTTCACTATTCTTGTCTTTAGGATTATAAAGTTTGAGAATGAAAGGAAYGTGTTCAATTTTGATTTTTATCAGGAATAAAAGATGTTTATGAGGTTTATCCAGCTATCATGTCTCCTTGTTTCGTTAATATTCTTCCATGTTTTCCTGCAATCCATACTTTACGTGATGTATTTTTCTCTTTCTGCAATATTGTTTGTTTTTCATTCAATTTGCTCTTGACCTTGACCTTTATCGACATCRTTGACACAAACCCATGGTCCTTCGAGAGACTCTTTCCATAAGCTTACCTGAAACATATCACATAATCTTCAAATACACACAAAACAATGTAAGAGAAAGGACTTCATATTATTCTTGTTTACAATGTACATCACAGCAAACGAAAACAAACGTTAACATAAAGACGTAGTACTGTGCATCTCCAGAAGGATATAGGGCTTTGGTAATAGGGTTAACATGTTTGTACTGTGTTGACTGTACCTTGTTATCACCACCAGATATCGCTAGGATGTTTCCTGTAACTGACCAACTAACATGCCAAACTACATCACTGAATTTCTTTAACACCTTTGATGTCCACTCATCACCCTCCTCATTTCTTGTCCAAATTATGACACGGCAGTCCTATTAGAAGGTTGCATTATTAAAATTTTGATATTAATTGAATTGTATTGACTGAGCAAAGAAAATAACCAGTGTTGGGTTATCTGATTACTCAAAAGTAGGTATTATACACTTGTGAAATATCTGATTACTCAAAAGTAGGTTAATACACTTGTGAAATAGTTTGTGTAAATTACTACAACCAGTAAATGGTGTAGAATAGGCAATAGGAAACAAAGTATTAGGCAACATAATACAATTTCTTTAGCTATCTTTCTTCTTTGCTCTCTACAGTTTTAATAAATGGAAAATAAGGGAGGATACATAATGAAGATATACTGTATCTACATGACTACAGGATTCCAGGCCTATATCTTTCCTGAGAAACTCCATATAGAACTGTAAGCATGACATACCTGAGAACAGCTTGCAATAGTTGATGTTGGTAGACCAATATTTGGAGCCCAGGCTACATCTCTAACCCAGTCACTGTGAGCTTCAAGTCTATCTTCCTCTGTCCACTGTCCATCAACCTCCCTGAGTACAAAAACATTGAATTAATTCACCCTTGACATATCTACAGTGCATACTGTACTATGGTTAAGTTATAAAATAACAAGCGCTCAAATATTCATGAAAAAAAAAGCTGAAAAAAAAAATGACGCGAGCGTRTATTATGCTCTCATCAAACACGGCTTTTTGGCCAATCAGAGCGCGTGTAATATGAAAGTTATTTTATAATAATAAATGTTAATCATCTACATGTAAYAATGGTTGAAATATGAAGGAAGGCACAAGTTACATACTTCCAGATTTTGACCAAATTGTCACATCCACCAGTGACAAATCTCTTTTCAACTAAACCAGCTTTAGTTGGTGGATGCTGCAGAAAATAGATAAATGAACAGCTAAATAGAATGATAAATACTTATATACTTGTTTTATAGTAGT